CCTTCCTCAGTTATTACCTAAAACAACAGCATTACGATTGCCTTCCACTGCATCATGCCAGGCACTTTCCATGCACAACGACAAAGAACCAGGAAATACAACAAAGTCATGGAATGACCAGAACACAACAAGAGCTTGATCAAAGCAGCATAGAGACTGGGTTGTTCAAGTTCAGAACCCGGAAGAATGACCACACCATCTCAGAGACCGGCTGCAGGAGACTGACCACTCCACCTCAGAGATTAGGTTGAGTCTATCACCACAGGAGAAATCTTTATCTTTGTTCTTCCAAATGTTGGAAGCTCACTGTTGGACAGTGGAATCATTTTCAAAATTTTCAGGTATGTGTGGAATTTTGTGTGCAGGATTAAACTAACAGCAAGATCAAAAAGAATTCACTGTCTTTGCTTTTTAGTTTTGCAGTTATACTGTCTTTTAATGTATTCATTTAATAATTAAATCAATTTTACAATTCCATCAAATCATTGTGTTGATTGAAGGATTATTAACAATTTTCTTCCTTCTTCTGAAAGACATGAAAACGTTTTGAAGTTTCCTAGCTGTAAGCATTTTACATTGTTTAATATCCGTGCAGTGATTTATGCATCAAAAGCATTGATATTTCCAAAGAAGTGCAGTGGCTTTGAACTTTTTGTACCTCAATTGTACCTTAAAGCTTTTGCGTGTGGGAACCGAAAGTTTTTGTACAGCAGTAAACCACTGTGATAACTACAGGGGCACATTGGTTTACACCATTACAGAAACTCCCCTCTGTGTCGGCTAATCATTATATTAATATATATGGGCTGACACCTTTATACAAAGCAACTCACATTTCCACACATTTATACAGCTGTTTATTTTTACTAGTCTAACTGGGTGAGGTACCTGGCTCAAGGGTATGACAACAATGTCTCACCTGAGATTTGAAACTGGAATCATCCAGTTACAAGTCCCTGATCATCACTCACATTGCTATCCCTGTTCAGCGTGCTAATTCCAGAAACTCTGGAAATTCTAGTAGTATTTTTACAGGAGAGACGACAGCATAATCTATTCAGATCTCAGTAAATTAAAAATAAAAATCAATCTTCTATATCACTTTGATATATCAATAGACTTACCCGACTGTAAGCATTTTGTTTGCATAGATAAACCTTAGAAAATCAAACAGATTAAGTGCATAGAGTATTTAGTGTTAGCGATATATTTAGAACTACCTCCTGTGAAATGTCACATCATTTGGATTTCCTGATTGTATATTTACAGTTCACTGCTCTGAAGCAGCGACTTACTAAATTATTCTAATGCTTTTAGAGGAAATAAGAGTAGTCTACTTGAAATCGTTCCATTCTGTTTAGGCTATTGGCTTTCACTACTGAGCAGCTAAGCTCTTGATAAATCCTCTTATGACCCAATTCATCTTCCTGAATTCCCAGATTGGGCAGTGGAGCATTCTTTCCAAAAGAAAGGATGACCTTCTCTGCACCTTGATGATCCAGGTCACAAAGAATCCCGAGATCATGCAATCTGCCATATCCATTCATACTAGCAGAGAAGCCAGTAAGAGGGGTCTGAAAGGCCTTCTCTCATCTCTGTTCTGTCATCTTGGAGTGATGAAAGGGACTGTCTTGGCAAAAACTGCACTTGGTAGGATTGTGAGCTATAGGACATTCTTGTGCTACTGGAGCCAGATGCCTGCTGAGTCTATAGAAATATAGAGCAGTGGAAAGACTTTGTTTTGCATAACGATTCTCTTTTCAAATCAAGATCCAGCATCTCCAATAAGTAGCAGACAGTCGTGCCAAGCTCAAGTCATCCAGAGAGACATTGTGAGTAGATTCTCAGCCTTGCACACTAAAGACAAAATCATTTTCCCACTACTTCTTGTTCTTACTTATACACACACCTCTAAGTATTACAGATGTCAAAGTGGTACTTGTTTAGTAGTAAAGGTTTTGTGAATTGTTTTGCAGGTTTTTTAATCATTTTAAACATCGAGCTGTTGGGATTGTTGAAGAGCGAGGCTGCATTTGAAGAGTGATCAATGTACCCATGTTGGAGTCACAGCGTGTCTGTTCATCCCTGACAGGTGTGGTCTGCAGTGTCCAGCTGACTCAGTCGAACTCTCAAATCATGAAACCAGGCGAGGCTACAAAACTGTCCTCCACGTTGTCAGGATACACAATTACTGACAGCAGTTACGGGACATAGTGGATCCTCCAGCCCTAGGGGAAGGGACTGGAGTGGCTTAGATGGATCTGGGAAAATGATATCAAGCACGTGCCCTCTGTCCAGGGCAGGTTCACCATCTCTAAGACAGACTCCACTAACACCATGTACCTACAAATGAATAGCCTGCAGACAGATGACACTGCCTTGTATTATTGTGCAAGGTCACCACACTGAGGAAGTTCCCGGGTATACCACTGCAAAAAACATCAGCAACATTCAAGAAACATTCCTATTCCAAAAGGAGACATACATATTTAATAGGGCTGGTCTCACAGCATGCCTTTTCTAAGGTAACAATGTGCCCACCCTGCATGTGTTCACCCATTATATGATGTTGAAATAGTGAAATTACTAAAATTACCAAGATTTAATGATGGAAGAGTCCTAAGGAAACCCCAACACAATGTCCCGCACTGTCTTTTCCAAACTGCTAATTGGCTCCAACCACCCAGAATACTGGAAATCCACTAGGATGACCATCTTTGGAGCCATGAACGTTGCACTGCAGCCCCACAAACATCTCATGACATGGTCAATGAAAATAGGATGGTCCCACCCTCATAGAGGAACAGGAAGTTCTGTGTCTACATTCTTTTTTCAATGGCCAATCCTAGACTAGCAAGTTCCAGCCATTTCATAGCAACTCCTAAACTCAACTAATAATCATACTGGAAGGGGACTTATTTTAATAATGTAAGACAAGGCACTCTGAATGGCAAAACGAGATGCAGAGATCTGTTTTTTTTCATGTTCAGCAGCAGGTCAAATCCCAAAAACACACTTCTACTTCATTCCCCTCCCTCTACTCCAACTTCATCCTTGCAGCTGCCTCCCTGGTTCATTTCTCATAAACAACAGACCTGATCTCCTCAGCCAGGTGAGTTGACAAGCAAAGTATGAAGTATCCTTTCATAGTCGTTGGTTTGTTCTGTCATAATTAGAATTTGACCAAATCACTGAATTCAAATTAGGGGAGATTGTGCTTATTGATTGTGGAAATGTAGATGTGGTTTCTCAGAAAAAGACCTTGGACTATCTAGCAGAAAGTGAGGTGTAGAAAGTGAAATGTGAAAATATTAGTCTCCACTTTACATGTATTTGTTGTACATCTTGAATAAATTCCCTTTATGTTTGAACAGCATTCTCCTGGATGAGCAGAATTCATCGGCAGAACAAATTAATAGGTGATGAATGCGCCAGAATGAGCCTTTATTACCAATTGTTATAATTCCTTCAGGTGTTACAGGGCAGTTTCTTCAATACTTTCCACCTTTTTGTTAGAAAATCCAATGCTGATGCACCACTAAATCAAAACATGAGTGTAAGCAAACTTTTTGAAAAACAAAAAGATGATTGTCAATGGAATATTTTATGATTACATCCTAACACAACACATTCCCAGTGCTCACAAAGGAACTAACAGACTTGTGCTATAGCATGGCTCCAATTGTCCAGAATTGCAGGACATGGTGGTCACATTGGTGCCGTGACTCAGACAGGAGTGGAGCTAGTTTGGGCACGGTGACATCATTGCCCTCCCTGCGCATAACGGGGATCTCAGCCGCCTGGGCTGAGGCAGGTCTCATTTAGCTCGGCTAGTTCCCTGCTGTGTCACGCCGGAGACCCGGGTTCGTGCCCAGGTGTTGTGGGACAAACCAGCTGGGTGGAGTGGTGAGGGCACAAGCCTGCCCAGAACCGCGACGGTCACATCATTTCTTCGGCTTTTTTATGACAACTAATATTAGGAAATTAGCAGAACATCATTTAATTCTCAGATCGTGAATCTAAGAATGCCAAGTTGTCAGAACTAAAGCACATATTGGCACAGGTAACACAAATTAATCTTCAAGCCGCTGGCTGCAGTTAGCGGTTTGTGTCACACTGTATATCACTGTGACTAACTGGGACAGCACGGTGATATACTGTCATGCAAAAACCCCTTTCCCCAGTGTGTGTGTGTTTGGGACAGATACTAGTGTGCACTCCAATGTCCTGTCCTCATTCAACATGAAGGACTGACATCGTAGTTCAGGGTTGATATTGACCAGAGGGGAGTTTAGGGAGTTTCCAACAATCAATTTAAATTCACATAATGCATTTCCTTTAGGTTTGATATTGCCAATACAATAGGTAATATGGGTATACTATATTTGTATCCCTAGACCCTCTATATAATATCAAGAATGAGCTCACAATGAAGACAGGTGCAGTGTTTTTGAATGAGATTATATCACTGTGATACTTGGGGTGGGGGACACAGTGATTCAAAGCAGGACAAAAACCTCTCCCCTCTGTCTACCCTGTTTAACTGCAAGGAATTCTGCCTCCTAGACACACAGAACTGCTCTGGATCATCACAGGCAAAGGGAGTGAATCAAGAATGTCTCTCCACCTGTGAGCACACCATAAAGGGCAAAGAAAGCTTACAGTATGTTGCAACAAGAGTAAACCCATTAGTTCCAATGCACTTCAGGACTGACTGTGAACGTCATACAGTATATAATGATAATACAAATTAAACTATAATTAGACAGGCACACACAATTTAGGACTGCATTTAAAATGGATAATCAGCTCCACTAAAATAAGATTGGCATTTTAGCCTGAACACGTATTTAAATAACGAGGAGCTGTAGGCTGGCAGATAGCACAAATAATTCTCAGGTCTGCGGTTTCTGTGTTACCTGGTGACCCTGTCTCACGGAACTGTGTTTCCTATTTAAGCCCAGCAGGAGCTGCTGAGCTGTAGAAGCCCCAGGCGCTGCCCCTGTCACTGTGTGAAGAACAGACTGCGCTCCGCTGCTGGAATCATGACAGCTCCTCTGGCCCTGGGTCTCCTCTCTCTGGTTGCCTTTCCTTGTACGTTAAACGTTGAAGGTTTTTCGTGCATCCATCATCCAGTAATATTTTATTTCTAAAGCAATATTTTTTTTCTCATGCATGTTTTAGCTTTTTCGCTTTGTTTGTTGAATGAACTGCCTAATATGACAGTTTTTTCTCCTTTTCTTCCAGTCGTTCACTCTGGTTTTCTGCGCCAATAGCCCACAGTGGTCACACCGGGTCTCTGGAATAAAGCACTACTGATACTGGATTTAGCACGAGCAGCGATGAAATGTACGGGATTCTCCTCGAGAAAGATCTGGAGTGGATGACTAGATTTTGCCGCGGTCGCGAAAGGATTCTTTGTCTCGGCAGTTTGCGTTTGGAGAGCTGGAGACAGTGGAGTCTGTTAGTGAGAAACGCGCGGACAAATGCTTGAACAATGGAATAAAATCTGACGGAACAGAAAGCGGAGAAATTTCGCGGAATAAGCAAAATAACGGCTTTTGATTGCAGATAAATAAAACAGGTACTGTAAACCATTTGGCAGGCCTTTAGTGCTTTATCAGTGTGGATATCAAATCATCCAGCAATGAAAAAACACCATAGAACACCCTCACCTGAAGGTATTATTCATTACCTGCTCCGTTATGAAACTGAACAGAACTTTAAATTATCATAAAACCTTTCCCACTTAAACATTGGAACATATTCGTCTGACTTGGCATATACTGTAGTGAGGCAGATATGTACAGTTGTTCTGAAATCAGAAGTCACGACTACGTAATTTCGCATGATTATATTTAAATATTTTTTCAAACTTATATACATGGTTATTTTAACAAATATTTGCAGTTTAAGGGTTAGAAAGCAACGATTCAATCTGATTTTCTTTGCTGTACGGCAATAAAGAAACGAGTATCCTGACAAATATAGCATATTTCAGTATTTATTCAAAAATTTTATTTTTTAAAACGTCACCCGGCTAATAAACAAATGCCGTTCTCTTAGTCTTGGTATTCTAGTTATAAGACAAGCTATTTTATGGATTTATCTGAAAAACTGGTCGATATCAATGTTAATCACCAGAATAACTGTGCTGGAGGCTTAAGTTTTTGAGCTGGTCTTCAGCACTGTGAGTATAGTGGGGGCTGGACACAATGATATAGTACCGTACAACAACCTGCGGTCATATTCATCTCTGCAGGGCCACAACACTAAAACACAGACCGAGCGCCTGACGACATATTCAACTCAGTTTAAGTAGCTAAAAACTATTTTAATCACATGCTGAGTGTTTTGCTCTCTTGTGAAAATCTTATGTGTTCAATCCCAATAATTATGCATGAAGGTGAGCAAGTTTGGGATTTTATTTCACTGACACTTAATTAAAGCTCCCACATGTGTGAGAGCTGGGAACAAATTGTTCAAATCAATCATATTTTTATTAAGCAAATGAAGGGTTTGGTTGTGAAACTGAGGACTTGGCTGGAACAAAAACCAAAAGATGTGGGGGTCACCAGGACCAGCGTTGGGAACCACTGACCTAGAGACACGTACACAACAACATAACTTGAACCTTTGTTTTAAACTTTCCCACAGTCCTTTTACCCTGGCATAGGACAAGCGTCCATAGATACAGTATACATAACCCTGACCACATTCATTCTCATTTTTAGATGTCCCACAGTTATCAGTGAAAAAAAAAAATGACATTCAACATTAGCATCGCAGAGCTAAAAGCAGATTGCATGTTTTGTGCTACAAACAGCTTCCCAAAAGATTGCCAATTTAAAAATCAGTTTTAGAAAAATAATATTGTGGAGTATGAATCAATGAATGGCGCAGTATGTAAAGTAATACATTCAGTATTAATGCATTCAATGCAGAAAAAAAAACGCTGCTTGCTGAGAATAGATGCAAAGAGCTGTGAGAGCAGGCAACCAAATTTCAAAAGTGAAATAATTAACGAACTAAACGTTTTATTTAATTAAACGTGTGTGGGCCGCACTGCTGGTCACGCATTTGCTGGCGACAGTAAAACAATTTTAATTTAAGTAAAATCATGTTCACTGTAATTACAGTATCTCACAAAGCATTCCAGGCATGTTGGCTGTTTTGTTCCTTATACAATGTGAATGAACCAGTATAAGTTAAATGAGATCTTACTGTACTTATTTCACTATGCGCCCTTCATAATTGTATAAAATATGCAGACACAGAATCTTTTCTGTTAATGTAATTGGCAGTATGAAACATCAAGAGCTTACAAACATGACACAGATAATAGTTCAGGTGGGGAGCTGCGTCAGCATGCGTAGTCTACAAAGGAACAAATAATAATAGGTTTATTCCATGCTGAAAAAAAGAAGAAAGAGAACAACGTTTCAGCCGTGGAGCCTTCTTCAGGTGATAATGATTGTCAATGTCCATGCTTACAGCAAAGTTATGGATTTATATGTGTTTTCTATCAGTGCAGGAGCAATTTGTTCAAGAAACAAACAAATGAAATGTACAGTATGTCAGTGGACCTGAAATATGACAGGAACAGTCCAGATATATTTTTAATGGCTGCCCATGAGTGTGTCTGTAGTGGGTTTTTGTCAGAGAGTGTGTCACTGTGACTACTATAGCAACACCCACAGTGACACAGACCAGTACATAAACCTCTGGACACCACTGCAGAGCAGAACAGTCACTTCCCATCTCAGCTTTATGTGTATCCTTAGATTATCAACAGCTTGAGTGCAGAGGCTTAATAGTTGTCTACTGTACTGTCATAATTACCACTGTAACAGGACTGTTCTGCACAAGAAGGCTTAGCTTACTTTTGTCCAACAGTCACTATTTTTAAGATCTTAATCTGTTTCATTACCTATAATTATTAAAGGGCCTGAACTTAGAAGCCACAAATGCCCCAGTGTGCTTTTTTGTGCTTTCTTGCTCTTCTGAAACCACACTGAAATACACAATCAACTACTTACAAACATTTTCTCTGAGACATCAATAATGCCTCCATTATTCTTTGCTCTACACGCCGTGGGACACAAAGCCTGCGCCAGATGAGGGAAAATGCAGATGTTTATCCAGAAAGCAGCCCCACGCATTGAGGAGCAGAAGGTTTTTGTCAGAGAGTGAATCGCAGTGATAACAACTACCACAATGCCACAGCTCTGTACAAAAACCTCTTTCAGATCAGAACCTGCACATCACATTCAACACAATGAATTCAACATTCAACACTATGAATTACTCTAGGAAGCTCACTATGTGTTGTTTTTGCACTTATTTTGGTTACAGAACAGAACATGTCTTCTATGTATGTACTATGTATGCAGTCTACAACATACAGAGGAAATTGCCATGCAAATAATAATATTTATGATATGCCTCAAAATGTCTTCTATGGGACAGAACTGTCTTGAAAGTTGTATGGAGAAATAGCTAAACTTTTCTCCTGGATTAATGGCCCTGAAAACTGAAATACCACGGGTATATTCAATAGTTCTCTTGTTGTCTCTGATTCACGGGTGGCGTGAGTCTCACAGCTCTGATTTCTGACAGCACGATCTGCACAAAGACATTCCTCCACAGTCACTGGGCTCTTCTTCCTCTGCAGTGCGTACGAAGGTAAATGTGATCAAAGTCTTTCACAGTTTAATGTTTCTGTTTTGTCTTGACTTTTCTTCCCATCAACGTCATCCTGCTTTTACTCGGCCTCTTGCCGCACTTTACTGCGTTTTTACCATCTATTCACTGTTTCCACACCACTGAGCACTGACACGGTGTGTGGGCGTTTTAATGAAGTGTGAAGGAATTATATTAGCCACAGCAATACAGTTGCTCTCCGGTGTGTGGTTGTTGTTGTTGTTTTTGTCAGGGGATAGCTGTCACAATTACATATCAGGAGTTATTCACTTCATAAACAGTGATACAGTTGTACTCTGGTACTGTATGTGCATGGTTTTTTATGGACTTTCATGAAGGGCTGCGCAGGAGGTTTTTGTCAGGCAGTGTAGCACTGTGATATGGGGTAGCAGCCACAGTGATACAGTCCAGTGCAAAAACCTCTTCCTGTTCATCCACGGCACACACACAAAAAACAACATACGGTGCAGTCCTTAAGTATTTGGACAGTGACACAATTTGTATTGTTTTAGCTCTGTACTCCAGCACATTGGATTTGAAATTAAACAATGACTATGAGGTTAAAGTGCAGAATGTCAGCTTTAATTTGAAGGTAATTTGTGTCTATATTGAGTGAACCATATAGGAATCACAGCAGGATCTGCACAAAAATCACAGCTCCACTGTGCTGGAGTACAGAGTCAAAACAACACAAATTGTGTCACTGTTACTTACGGACTGCATTGTATCACGCAGCGAAGTACCTGAAAAAGTGATCTTTGAAAAGGAGAGCAGTATGATGTATAAACAGCTTTTGCATTGTGATTATTACTCCACAACATTATTTTTCTAAAAGCGATTTTTACATTAGAAATCTTTTTGAATAATTAATATATTTTTTAATATATAAATAATATATAAATAATAGTTTTTTTTAGAATAATCACAATCATGTGAAATGAATTTGTGGGTAAGTAAAGCTCCACTGTGAGACAGTTAGTACAATATCCCTGCTACATGCTGGTTCCTTTTAGCGTTACAGTTTGTTATTAAAGTGCATCTTTATGCTGCTTTCTCACAGTAAATATGGAAAAAACTGGTGAATTTTCCAGATCCATGTTGGGAAACACTTTATTCCAGGAGTCCCCTGTGAGTCGTGTGTTAGTTCTCTAGGGGTGACACACTAGCCCTTCAGCAGTGATGGACACCCCCTGTACACAGGCAGATCAGGGACAGCAGTGTTACACCATATTCTGCAAATTGTCAGGAGGAGAAACAGTTCCACCTTCAAGTTCCTTCTCCTTCTCCTTCTCCTCCTCCTTCTTCTTCTCCTTCTCCTTCTTCTCTTTCTCCTCCTGCTCCTTCACCTTCTCCCTCTCCTTCTCCTTCTCCTCCTCCTTCTTCTTCTCCTTCTTCACCTTCTTCTCCTTCTCCTTCTTCTCCTTCTCCTTCTTCTCCTTCTCCTTCTTTTTCTCCTCCTTCTCCTTCTTCGTCTCCTTTTCCCCCTTCTCTTCCTTCTCCTACTTCCTCTCCCCCTTCTCCTTCTCCTCCTTCTTCTTCTCCTTCTTCTCCTCCTCCTTCTCCTTCTCCCTCTCCTTATCCTTCTCCTCCTTCTCCTATGCATGGTGGTGATGATCAGCTGTACCGTCACACACAATGTTTTTTCATACTTGCAGTAATGTGAGGGGATATCAGCAGGTTTTTGTCAGGCAGTGTGTGACTGTGACCAGTCCTGCTCTGTTTGGAGCCACAGTGAAACTGACCAGCGTAAAACCTCTCCCCTCACCATCTGCATAGTGGATGCTTAAAGTGCATCAGCTGGGCAGCCAAAGAGTTAGAACAGGAATACACATAGGAAACCAACTGAGGTCCGCCCTGCAGAAGAAGGATCTCTACCCTATTAGCTAAGTGATCTCTATGAAGAGCTTGTTGATTAAAAATTAATCACTAAGGAGAATGAGCAAATTGTGTTGTGTTGTCAGAAACACAAGCACAATTGTCCGATTTCTGTCACTGGTTTTACCGTGTTAATACCTAGCTCACCTCCCAGAGTCTTCTCATCAGGAGTGTCTGTCTGTGGTCCCAACCTGCTGGAACCATGTGTGTCCACTGCTCTGCCTTGGTCTGGCTGGATCTTGTCTTTGCTGCTCTCCTCTCTCCTTCGTTATTGCCTCTTGTACTTCCCCACCCTGGATTGGATAATGGCATTCATTATGGAGTTAAGGATATCAGAGCAAGTGGGAGTGATGTGCTTTTGTGGTGAAGGTTTTTGTTAGTAAGTGTATAACTGGGAGGATCACCCAA